ACTGGCTCCAAGCGCCACCGACCCCTCTCGCCACGACGTCCCCATCGAGATGCCCCTCCAGCAATGATAGGGGTCAGCGGTGCGGACACCAACCTCTCACCTAGCACCACGACTCCTGAGGACCCCTTGGCCACGTCCCCCTCCGTCGGCCCATGCCAGGCGCCATCGCTTGGGCCACCGATGGCACGGGTCGCGCTGGTGCCTCCAGCGCCACTGCGATTGCCCCTGGCTGTAACCCATCTATCACGGCCGCCGTCACCCCCACCTGTGTCGGTGGGATCACGACCAGCTACGCCACGCCCACCACGGTCGATGCCGTGAGCATGGTTGGTAGCCCCATCCATCCCGTCATCGACAGCGGTATAGCGGCCGACACTGGCTGCTCCACAACCTCCGAAGGCGCCCCTTGAATGCCCGCATCCGCCCTTCCCGCCGAGGGCACAGGTGCCACCATAGGTGGTGCCCGATCAGCTGGTGACGCGATCACACTGGCTCTACCCCGCCCAAAACAGGCGCGACACCAGCCGATGGCCGCCGCCACAAGTGGAGGGCGATGGTCTTCTTCGGCACCAGCGCCAAAGGATTCCGATGCCTACCGACGCTACAAGGGATGAAAAACATAAGTCACGATGAAATTCGACTAAAACTAGAAAAAACAGAGGAATTAATAACTCAGCTCAATGTCGTCGGGTGGCAGATGCGTTTGGAGCATGAACCCCCTGACCCTTGCTCCGTCTCGTTGGAACAAGGCCATTTCGAGCCCGCCCCCGGCTCTTGGGCGGAGGGGCTCACCCCTGGCAGCTCCTAGGGCACATTGGCAGAATGCCCCGCTCCCCTTGGCTCTTGGGGCGCGACGGTGGAGCCGCCCACCTCTGATGGCACCTCGAGCGTGACGGTAGACCCACCCATCTCTGTTGGCTCCTAGGGCCGGCCGACAGTATGTCTCGCCTCTGTCGGTTCCTAGGGGGCATCATCAGAACAACCCACCTTTGTTGGTTCCCTAGACGTGCCCTCCCCTCCATGGAACGAGAAGGGTCCCGACACCTGCAAGGATGAACCGACGCCTGTCAGCGCATCCTCATTCTCTAGGTTGTCCCACTCGATATCGTCAGCTACCGTTTCTTCTTCCTCCATCACCTCATCGTCATCGTCATCATCATCGTCTGTGTCCTGCCCTTGTTCCCACGCCCATAGCTTCCGCTGCTTGTTCCTCTTCTTGTCCTCCTTCACCTTCCTTAGCCACTCGCCCTCGGCGCGATTCGCCACCCTCACGGCTGAATCCCTCGGCATCGGCGCCGGGTGATCCATGAGGATGAGGTCCCTCGACTGGTCCCGCCCCTCTCAAAGTTAGTCTCATAGGGTCAGGAAATCAATTGAACAAAAGACAAGAGAAAGGGAAACTTACGAAGGCAACATAGCCTGGCTCCGCCCGCATCGGAGGATGCCCCGGCACCGGGTAGATGAAGTTGAGGGCGGCACCCGCATCGTCCCGCAAAGGCTCCATTGCCTCCTTGATGTGTTGCGCAATCTCGGAGTTGGAGAGCGTTCCCTCAGCGAGCGATGTTCCATCGAACGACGCCTCGGCGCCATCGCATTTAGTGGGAGCGCGCGTCATCAACGGCGCCACCCTCCTCGCGTGGTAAGCCTAGATGATGCCAGACCCTTTTAAGCCGTTCTCCTTCAGGATGTGGAAGGCGGCGATGTGGTCTCGATCTTCTTCTTGTCCTTCTCTGGGACGCCCCACTTCCTCCACTGCTCCAGGGCCACTTCAATCAAGCGCCCGGTGAACTCCGACAGAGGGGCGGCAGCGTCATTCCTGAGGTAGAACCACTGTGAGTATCACCCCTTGTTGGACGTCGAGAGCCACATGGACGGGTACTCGCCGACCCGATTGTTCTGAAGTTGGATGCCGGCGCACCCCATCGACATGTGCAGCTCTTGCTTGCCGCCCTTCTCCCTCTTCTTCTAGGGGTTGACGGTGAAGAAATATCTCCACAAGTCGAAGTGGGGGCTGATCCCTAGGAATCCTTGGCATAGCGCGACGAACACCGCCATGTGCTGGACCCCGTTGGGAATAAGATGCTGCAGCTCAATCTTGTAGAAGTGTAGCAGCCCCTGGAGGAATTTATGGGCGGGGGTCGTGAGACCACGCTCGTGGAAGTGGGCGAACGACACCACGTAGCCGTCAGGCAGTGACGGTGAATCCTCGTCGCCGGGTAGCAACCACTCCTCAGCCGAGGTCCGCGCGCGGAGAAGACCACGACAGATGAGGCCCTCCATGCGCTGGAAGGAGATGTCAGAACGGCACCATGGATCCATTGGAGGTGGGGGCGGATGGATGCGAGTTCAATAGCGGTGGAAATGCAGAGGCAGGAAACCTAAGCGTTGGTGGCGGCGGCGTGGCTGTAGAGGTAAGGATGTAGGCGTGCGTATGAAACATGGAGGGCTAACCCTTTGGTTTTATAGGGGCGACGGGTGCGAGAAAACCAATCGTCCACCTAGATCTCCGTGCCTGCCACGACCTATCACCATGTCTCGTCGCAGGGCGAGCACACGCAACGTATGGTTGTCCCCTCAGAAAATGCGCTAGATGTTTCGCCTCCCTGAACAGGCCATGACCCATCACAGGTAAGAGGGATACGGAGCTAAAAATGTTCCTATGGCCCATCTAGGCCTAGGAGTTCGAAGGTTGGCCCACTGACGGGTTCGACAACCGCTCTGGGCACCTTTAGAGTGAGGGGTGGAAAGAGATGGGCCCGCTAACGGCTAGTACCCGGGCACACAAGCACCGCGGGCGTCCCGGCGCACGTTCGAGCCTCGGCCAGATACGATCCATGGTTTTTCCTCGAAGAAAGGCAGAGAGCCATCGGGACCGGTCGAACGGACTGAGAACTATATGGATTGACCGCTGAGAATCTGGAGTTGGTCACTAGCTGACCAAGCTGAACCCCTGTGAACGGGATACCGGGGGCCCACTCGGACTAGCCCATTAACAACTCACCGAGCACCATGGCTCGTTCGTAGAGAAAAATTATGGCACGGCTCAACCTCTCCGTTTTTATCGGAAAAAACGCTTGAGAGAAGACGATCACGAAGACGAGTCGATCCTCGACCGGACCCTTGCTACAGGCGGGGGCTCGAGGAAAGTTGGACTCGCAAGAAGACCGAACGCGCGATCGCAGAACGACAGAACCTTGTAGGGGTCGGAATCAGGAAAGACCTTTTCCGACCCACCAAATATCACGGCTATACCCCCGAGAGGTCCGACCACGACGAAAGGGAATCGCCGTCCCCAGGACACGCTGTGGGCGACAAGAGAAGGCCAAGGCCCTCAGAGTCCTCCCATTCAGAAAAGCCTTCGAAGAAGTATTCTACTCCTCCGCAGGCTCGGGGGCTACTGTCGGGGACCAATACTAGGGTACCTGAAGAGGAGAAGCTAATGGCCATCAACATTGATTCATCCGAGCAGTTAAGAGCGCGACTATAGCTCCAACCAACCCTCAGGTGCGCGGGCTCCGCCTCGCCCGACCTCTGGGGCGGGCTCCGCCTCGCCCGACCCTTTAGGTGCGGGCTCCGTCTCGCCCGACGGGGACTCATATCGCCACCAACCACTCCAGGTCTAAACGTATGGCATGGGTCAAAACTCTAACACCAAGGAAGAGACCGGCACGCCCTGATATAACCCGTGGCCATGACGGGCCATACCTGAGGATTCATATCAAGAACAGCGTCGGGCGTGCCGGTGCTGTTCTGCCTAACCCTCGTACGAATGCTGACAGGCGCGTTAGTTCCTCACAATGCCCGTCGGGACGGAATGGGACGCCATGACCGGCAGATGACGCCTGCTCATGGCGTCAGTGACGAACATAGCCGCGACGTGGAGCCGTCCCTGTTGACGTCTACAAGATCGGCAGGACCCGCATGAAAGGAGAAGAAGGACCCGACGGTCCTAGTAGCCTTCCTCTCTCTCTCGATCTTCTCATTTTCCTCCGCTGTTACCCGCGCTTTCCCTTAACCTATAAAAGGAAAAGCAGGACGCCCCATAAAAAAGATCGACCCATCAAGACCCGATTGGATCCAAATCCACACGAGAGCACGACACGAACACACGGTTGAGTAACGATCGAGCTCTCAGCACCCGTTCACTCCTTCCACCAGAGACTTAGGATCATTTCCCTCTCTCATCCGTTTATAACCCTACTATAAACTTTCTGTGCTAATAACACGAGCAGTAGCGACGAATTAAACGTAGGAACTTTCTACTCGAACATAAATCTCGTGTTCTTAAAACACGTCTTCCGAGCCAGACGCGTAATCCTCGTGCGTTTCGTAGTCGCGTGTGATCTAATATGTCTTCCGAGCCTGACGCGCAATCCTTGTGCGTTTCGTAGTCGTGCGTGATCTCAAAGCCGCGTCTCTCTCTAGCACTGTTCATAGTCAAGTCGCCAACTCGGGGTGGTCGGCCGGCAAGTCAACAAAAGCGTTCAGTTAATGGTGGCACGTTCACAGGATCACAGGCCAGTCTGGCAGTCTCTGTCAGGGATCCTGTCCGGTAGCAGCGATGCTGCTAGGCAGCAGCACGTTGTTTGTTGGGCTGGAGCTGGACGCAGCGACACGCGACCGCGACGCCGTGGTGGACTATGTGTGCACGGGAGGAACGTGGCTGAAGGGTGGGTCCATCTTTGTTCGGCCAGTTGGCACCGCCGGCCCGGCAGGGGAAAACGTCCCACGGGCCACCGGGTCGGTAGGAAGAAGGCCCAAGGCCTCTGTCCGGCACTGCGATGTGTGGCATGCGCCCGCGGCCCGCCCAAGGAGCCGGGCCGACCCTCGTCCCGGAGAAGTGCTGGTGGTGGAACTGGAACGTGCAGGCCACTCTCGTCTCGGCTCCCGGCTCCACGACACGACTGCACACAGTGCGCACACTCACTCGGGTCTCGAGCTCCCTACCCCGCGTGTCGCCCCGCCGCCCTCGACGGCGACGCCGCGCCGTGCCCAGCCCCATGGATCCCGCCGCTGCGGACCAGCCGTGTGTCATCCAGGCGCTCCCGGCGAACTGCAACACCCTCCCGCCGCTCCTGGTCCAGGCGCTCCCGGCCCAACACTCCCCGGCCAAGACCAACAACACGCCGCCCTCCCCCGCCGCCAAACGCCGCCCCGCGCCTGCCCCGCCGGGCCCGGCGCCCCCGAGCCCGCGCCGCACCCGCTCGGGCGGCGCGCCGGAGTGGACGCCCGCCGAGACGCTCGCGCTCGTCGCCGAGGTCGCGGCCGTGGACGACGGCTGGTCCCGCTCCGTCTCCGCGTTCCAGAAGTGGGCCATGGTCGCCGAGAACCTCGCCGCCTCCGAGGCCTTCGCGTCGGGGCCCAGGACTCGGCGCGGGAGCGGGACCAAGAGGACTGCCGGGGAGTGCCGCCGCCGCTGGGAGGCACTGGCGGCGGAGTACGGGGCCGTGCGCCGCTGGGAGGTGCGCACCGGGGGAACGTACTGGGAGATGGGCGCGGCGGCGCGGAGGAAGGCCGGCCTTCCTGCGGAGTTCGACGCCGAGGTGTATGGGGCCATGGATGCGCTCATACGGGTCGAGGAGGCGCTGCTTGCGGATGCTGCGGGCGGTGGTGCGGGTGGGGAGGAGGTGGAGGGCTTGGTTGGCGGCGGTGCCGGCGTCGGCGTCGAGGTGGGTGAGCAGGACGGCGGTCACTCCGGTGAGGCTGAGGTTGGAAAAGAGCAGGTCCAGGAGGATGCATCAGCAGGAGAGGAGGAGGAGGAGCCACAGGAAGAGAAGGAGGAGGAGGAGGAGCCACATGAAGAGAAGGAGGAGGACGATGTCGATGAGGATGGAGAAGAAATGCAGGAGGATGGGGGCAATGCTGATGCTTCAAATGACTTGGGTATGTGCAAATCATCCACTTTTCGCTTTTGAATGCACTGATTCTGTTGTCATGTGCTTATGATCGCGATAGCTTTGCTTCTGCTTACTGAAGATGTAGTCTGGTTATGAAGCTTATGTCAAGACTGCAATGATGTGTCATGTGTCATTACATGGAGGCGACTGTGCAAGTAGGAGGATTTATAACAGAAAAAACTGGGAGATTGAGCAGGGCATTTGATTAGCAGTGATGGGCCTAATATGGTTTTGGTTCTAGGGGATTCATCAGTGAAATTTGATGTCAGTCAAATATGCCAATACCATTATTAGGAATGATCATATCATCATAAGAAGACAAAATTTCAGTCACCGTATTTCTGTTGTACTGGTTATTGGGGAAATAAGGCTCATTCTGATTGGTCATGTCCCATTGTAGTGCCCAATTACAATATCTTTTCCTGTTTTGTCATGTCCACACTTAGTGGGTAGTGCGGGATAGCATAGCCTCATTGGTCTGTTATAGTTTTCACGTAGGCAAAATAGCTAGGGAAACCAGGTAAATGTTAACAATCATGAGAACAAGCCACAAAAGTTTTACAAAATTGTCAAGAAATTATCAGATGTAGGGAGGCATGTCCTATACATGTGTAAAATGAAACTTGAAGTCCAACCTCATTGGCAGGCGATGAAAACTTACCACCTTTTTTTTTAAAAAAAGAAAAAGATTCAACTTTTAGGTTCACTAGATATGTTCTCTAATGTATTATGGTATCTAACACGTCATTTGATCCCTTGTTACTGTCTTGTGGTTGTGGTCTATAAAGTCATGAAGCAATTTTTTTGCAGTCAGCTTTGGATTCAATGCCATGGTACGGTGATTCTTGACTGAACAGTCCATTAAAAACGATTTATGGTTTGTAAAGTTGTATTGGAGAACTTTTTTATAGCTTAAAGTCCTAAAATTATCCGTATCAAAGTTTAAACTGTCTATGGAAACTTTTGGCATAAATATAATTTCATGAATAGTATCAATTTATTTATGTTTGTAGCAAATGGGCATCAATCGTCAAGTAATACAATATTGCGTTGTTTGATAATATGCACAATATGTTAGACAGACAGTTTGCTTTAGGAACTCATTTGTATTCATCGAATATACATTTGTTCCTGGTGTTGGATAGGATTATAGTGTATGCTGCAACGAGCCAACACAATATGAGTTCCCTACAGTTCCATGTTCCAACTCTGATTCATACCTTGTACTACCAGCCTGTATTCTTGTTCCTTTTGTCTTGTCATATTTTTTGCTGCTGCCTTACTTTCTTCACAATATATTTGTGTAGAAGGGCAAGAGACTGGGACAAGTATTGAACCCGACAAAAGCCAAAATATTGCATGGGAGCTGGCAAACAAGTTACACGAGAACGCGCAGCATATCCACACCATACTGAACGAAGAGGCCGACCAAGATGGTGGCCAGAACCGTGCTCTTGGTGGTTTGATGCTGCCTGATGCAATGGAGGCCACCCGCCAAAAAGCCGATGAGCTGATCAAGTCACTAGGCGGGCTTGTCAGCTACCTGAACCAATTCACCGAGCTGGTCAAGGAAACTGGGTTCGAGAACATCGCCGGTATGACCTGATGCACGAGACAGCAGCCACGCAGGCCTCCTTTGGAGGATTAGATGATCATGCTGCTTAACGTTTTAGCGCTGTAGTTTCTCTGTGTCATCCTTCATCTTTGTAAATATGCGGCACTGTATGACGACCGCCCAGCCCGGGTGGTGTAGGGTTTGTAGCAGACACTGTTAGGTGCCTTGACAGCACCGCTGTTCTGGGCTTCTGGCCCTTGATTAGTGAGATCAGATGTTCACATCTGTTGTCTGGCGTTCCTTTCAGTTCTGGCCCTGAAAATCCCTGATGGTGAGAGATCAGATGCCTCAATTTGGTAGCAGTAGCAGATGTTCTCAGATGCATCACATATTCACATGTGAGATATAAGATGGGTGGGTGATGAGGCTGTAGTAATTTGGGATTAAACCAGAATGTTGCGAGGTTGGTGTCCTGGGGACATGGCATCTGTTGTTGCTGACAAAAATGAACCATGAACTGGCCAAAGGCTAAAACCTGCTCTCGCAGCCAACTCCAGCCACGAATGACACAGAAACCGGCCGCAGCAACAGACACAACAGACGCTGCTGTGTCTGCCGTCTCTTCTCCCGCCTATTCTTAGGCTCTCTACCTCCCTCCCCACCCGGCGTCGCGACCCATCACCGCATTTCCTCTCCCCGCCACCTCCTCTCTCCCCTCCATTCTCTTGACCCATGCACACGCGGGACGCGTAGCTTCGCCCTCGGCTCCTCCCACGACGACGCGCACGGGCGTGCGTGCATGCGGCGAGCGGTCACAGCCCCTCCGGCAAGGCGACCACCGCCGCGCGCGTGAAGACACCGGCTCGCCTCGGCTCGGTTCGTCTCGTCTCGTCGGACGACTCGCTCGGCGCCGCCCGCGTCCCCATGGCGCGGCCGCGGCCGCACGGCCACATCGTCCGCGTCGCCTTCGCCCTCGTCTTCGCCTTCGCCTCTACCGTCCTCCTGTCGCCGGCCGCGGAGGGCGTCCAGGAGGGCGACGTGCTGATCGCGTTCCGGGACACGCTGCGCGGGCCGGACGGCGCGCCGCCGGGCCCGCTGCGGAACTGGGGCACCCCGGGCCCGTGCCGGGGCAACTCCTCCTCCTGGTACGGCGTGTCGTGCCACGGCAACGGCTCCGTGCAGGGCCTGCAGCTGGAGCGGCTCGGCCTGGCAGGGAGCGCGCCCGACCTGGCCGTCCTCGCCGTGCTCCCGGGCCTTCGCGCGCTCAGCCTCTCCGACAACTCGCTCACCGGCGCCTTCCCCAACGTGTCCGCGCTCGCCGTGCTCAAGATGCTCTACCTGTCGCGGAACCGCCTGTCGGGCGCCATCCCCGAGGGCACGTTCCACCCCATGCGCGGCCTCCGCAAGCTGCACCTCTCCTCCAACGAGTTCTCCGGGCCCGTCCCGGAGTCCATCACCTCGCCGCGGCTGCTGGAGCTGTCGCTCGCCAACAACCACTTCGAAGGCCCGCTGCCGGACTTCTCCCAGCCGGAGCTCAGGTTCGTCGACGTCTCCAACAACAACCTGTCCGGACCCATTCCGGTAGGGCTCAGCCGCTTCAATGCAAGCATGTTCGCAGGTAGCATATCGATCGATCCATCCATCGATTCTCGTTCTCCTCATCTTTAGTTTTCTTTCCGGTGAAATCCTCTCGATATGTCTTGTTGATGAACGACGACGATCTGCATGCGATGCAGGCAACAAGCTCCTCTGCGGCAAACCACTAGAGGTGGAATGCGACAGCTCGGGGTCGCCGCGCACGGGCATGTCGACCATGATGAAGATCGCCATCGCGCTCATCATCCTCGGCGTGCTGCTCTGCGCCACGGGCATCGCGTCGGGCGCCCTCGGCCGCCGGAAAAGAAGGCCGAGGCGCGCGGCCGCCGAGAGGCTGGGCAGCGGCGACCAGACGCCCTCCAAACCGAAGCTCAACACGGCGCCGGCCGTCAACATCGAGAACGCGGCCAGCACCAGCCAGCCGCGCGCCGCTGCCGCGGCCGGCGCCGCCGCCGCCGCGGGGAAGCGCCCGCGCCGCGACGAGCACGGGCGGCTGGTGTTCATCCAGGAGGGCCGCACCCGGTTCGAGATCGAGGACCTGCTCCGGGCGTCCGCCGAGGTGCTGGGCAGCGGCAACTTCGGGTCGTCGTACAAGGCGACGCTCTGCGAGGGCCCCGCCGTGGTGGTGAAGCGGTTCAAGGACATGAACGGCGTCGGGCGGGAGGACTTCTCGGAGCACATGCGCCGCCTCGGCCGCCTCGCCCACCCCAACCTCCTCCCTCTCGTCGCCTACCTCTACAAGAAGGAGGAGAAGCTCCTCGTCACCGATTACATCGTCAATGGCAGCCTCGCGCAGCTCCTCCATGGTATGGTGCTCTCCTACAATACATAGAACAAGAAAATGAAATGGAATATAGCTGGGTGATTGATTGGTTCTGATGAACTTGAACTTAATGATGATCAGGTAACAAAGGGTCGCTCTTGGACTGGGGGAAGCGTCTGCGGATCATCAAGGGCGCGGCGCGGGGGCTGGCGCACCTGTACGACGAGCTGCCGATGCTGACGGTGCCGCACGGGCATCTCAAGTCCTCGAACGTGCTGCTGGACGGCGCGTTCGAGGCGGTGCTGTCGGACTACGCGCTGGTTCCCGTGGTGACGGCGCAGATCGCGGCGCAGGTGATGGTGGCGTACAAGGCGCCCGAGTGCATCGCGCCGCAAGGGAAGCCGTCCAAGAAGAGCGACGTGTGGAGCCTGGGGATCCTCATCCTCGAGATACTCACGGGCAAGTTCCCGGCGAACTACCTCCGGCAGGGGCGGCAGGGCAACGCCGACCTCGCCGGGTGGGTGCAGTCGGTCGTCACGGAGGAGCGCACCGGCGAGGTGTTCGACAAGGACATCACGGGGGCCAGGGGCTGCGAGGCCGACATGGTGAAGCTGCTCCAGGTCGGCCTGGCCTGCTGCGACGCCGACGTCGACCGGAGGTGGGACCTCAAGACGGTCATCGCGCGCATCGACGAGATCCGGGAGCCCGACGCCGCCGCCTCCGACTCGTCATCGTCCTAGGCGAGCACCCGCGTGTGTACTTGACCAAGCAAATCCCACTGATCGATCAGCAAGTCGTCGACGTCGTGCGTGCCGAGACGAAGATTTACATACGTGGCGTGGCGGCCATGAGCATGAATGAATCGGTTGCTTATTTGGTTCCACAAATCAACTAAAGTTGGATGCGTTGGTCGGCTGATCGATTTGATGAACAAATGCGTTTGGGATGGGATAAATCATGGTAATACGCTTTCTGATATGTTCATGGGAAATTTCCGATCGTGTAAATTGGTTTAGCTTAATTAATCTTGTCACAGGAAAAGAGGTGCTAGTGTAGTAGTGTGTAAGGTGCTTTAAATTCGTCTGTCTTGTAATTATGTTTAATTCGTACAAATCCTTTCATGCTCAAATTAAAATCCGGTAATGCTCCTACTCGAACGTTCGACGTTTCGGACGCGAGTCAGAAAACGATTCGACCGGCGCCTCGTCTTATCCGCCCTCTCGACGCCCTCCCCATCCCCATCCCGTGTCCGCGCGCTTCACTTCTCTCGCTCTTCTCGCCCTCTCCTCCTCACGGCTCCTCCACTCTCTCGCTCTGCTCGCGCGCCGCCACCCCTCCCTCCCTCCGTGACCTCCATGCCGCGACAGCGGCGGCTTCCGGTGAGCCGCCCCTCCCTCCCTTCCTCCGTCCCTCTCTCCCTCCCTCCCTCCCTCCGTGACCTCCATGCCACCGGAGAGGAGGGCGGCGGCGGCGGCTTCCGGCGAGCCACCCCTCCCTCCCTGCCTCCCTCCCTCGCTCTCGCGACCTCCATGCAACCGGAGAGGAGGGCAACGACGTTGGCTTCCAGCGATGCAGGTGGGTCCTTCTCTGGATCTGAGCCCTCCTCCTCCTCTCTCCTTCCTCCTCATCTGGATTTGAGCTCTCCTCCTCCTCCTCCTCTGGATCTGAGGGAGGAGGCGGTGGCTAGGGTTCCAGCGAGCTCTGTTGTAGTAGGCTTGCTTTGCTGTTGTAACAAGCAATATTTCTTTGTTACATTAGTCTTTTTCTGATGTTGCATCTCGCATTGAGCCTTTTGTTTCTGTTGTTGCAATAGCGTCGTTTTGCTATTGCAACAAGCAATATTTCTTTGTTGCATTAGTCTTTTTTTCTGATGTTGCATCTAGCATTGCGTTTTTGTTGTTGTTGTTGCAGTAGTGTTATTTCGTTGTTGCAACAAGTTTTTTTCTTTGTTGCATTGGTCTTTGTTTTCCTGATGTTACATCTCGCACTGCGCTTTTGTTTTTTGTTGTTGCAGTAGCTTTGGTTTGCTGTTGCAACAAGTAATTTTTCTTTATTGTATTAGTCTTTTTTTATGATGTTGCATCTCGCATCGCACTTTTTGTTTCTGTTGTTGCAGTAGCTTTGGTTTGCTGTTGCAACAAGTAATTTTCTTTGTTGCATTAGTATTTTTTCTGATATTGCATCTCGTATCGCAGTAGCTTTTGTTGTGTTGTTGCAGTCGCTCTTGTTCTCATGTTGCAATAGACTTGTTCTGATGTTTCACCTCGCATTGTGTAACACTGTCGATGTTTGACCACCGATAGCCTGCCACAGGGGTCCCTAGGGCAGTATGTTCGGGCTTCAGCGTATGTGGAACTCGACGGTGAACGCAAGAGACAGTCGATTTATCCTGGTTTGGGCCCTCGACCGTGATCGAGTAATAGCCCTACGTCCAGTCGGCGTTAGCCTTGCGTTGGATTGATTGTGAGATGTTGTGTCAAAGTCCCCCTTCCGCTAGGAACCCCGCCCTCCTTTATACAGTCAGGAGGTCAGAGTCCTAGTCGGTTTACAATGAGAGTTCATAGTAGGATTACAGAATAATACTACTACTAGGATTACATGAAAGGAAACCTAGTTAGACTAGATCTTCTCTCTTCCTTGCAGGGTATCCCGTGGGTCCCGCATCGACAAGCCCCTGAGCACTTCATGGTTGAGCTCTGGAAGCCTCGTCTTGTTCCTTCAGGTCTTGTCGAGTAGAAACAAGCGTCGTCCGAGTGCTTTCTTGAGTAAAACCATGTAGCGCTTTCTGGGATCTTCGAGTGGTGCGTGCCTTTTTGAAGGAAAAAGCACATCTAGCTGGGTGTAGCCCCTGAGCCTCTTGCTATTTGGAACAAGTAGCTGGAGGGTCTTGTCTTGAAATTGCTCTGATCCTTTGCGGAAGAGTAGCCGGGTATACCCGGATTCTTTATAAAAAGAACTCGGATATATCGTGTTGTCTTGAAGTGGCCTTCTTGTTGACGTGCGAACTCTTGTCTTGAAGAAGTCTTTTGAGTGATGTGCACTTTTTTTTGAAAAAAGTGCACTCACTGAGTGTAGCCCTCGAGCCTCTTGCTATTTGGAACAAAGAGTTGGAGGGTCTTCAATCCTATGTTGTTTTACAACTCTTGTCTTGAAGAAGTCTTTTGAGTGATGTGCGCTTTTTTGAAAAAAGTGCACTCACTGAGTGTAGCCCCCGAGCCTTTTGCTATTTGGAACAAAGAGTTGGAGGGTCTTGAGTCCGAGTTGTTCAAAGAACTGAAAACTTCCCCTGTTGCAGCCCCCGAGCATTCTTCAAAAAGAACTCGGATACAGAATCTTGGCATATTCTCTGGTAGTCTGCTGTTGTCAGATGTTGAGTCTGCTGCTTTCAGATGAAGAGTCTGCTGTTGTCAGATGTAGTTGTATGGTGGTGGTTGAGTGTAAATGCCTTTTGTTCACGGGTTATACAGTGTTGGTATATCCTCCCGAATATGCTTGTTGTTGAGTACTGTTCCTTCACGCATGAGTTCTCTTTCATTGAATTCTGTCTTTTCACCGTGTCCTTTGTTAGGTTTGTTCCGCTGGTGCTCCCGGTCCATGTGCACCTCATCTTTGGTCTATAAATATCCTCCTTGTGTGCTGTCTTGATTCATCGAGCACTTTGTTGTGTGGTCTGAAATCTCCGTAGTCATGAATATGATAGTTTGTGAAGTAGAGCAGCCAACGAGCGTATTTTGTAGTTCTTGTACATCTTGTCGTAGCTGGAGGAAGTCTTGTGATAGGGATTAGAGGTAGACTAATCCCGCAGTGGCATTGCTCCGAGAAGTACGTGGCGGTAGTTGGAGGAAGTCTTGTGATGTGGGATACGTTCCTTCATCCAGCAGTTCTGGATGTGCTGCTTTCTTCCTTTGAAGAAAACAGTGTAGCCGAGTGCGGTTTGCTCTACCGAGTAGCAACTTGGAACACGTAGTCGTTCTAGAGCCTAGTTGTTTCTGGGTTCGTTTTTGCTACCTTGCCTGTCGTAGTACCGAGTTCGTTGGGTCTTGTAAGATGTGTAATCTTATATCTTTTGAAGTCATTTATAATGAAAAGAATCTTGTCTTCTGAGTTGTCATTCTTTATTCTGCTGATGTCCCTTTTGTTTATGAGATTCCCGAGTTCTTTCTGTAAGGACCGGGTTGTTATGTCCCTTGTGTGGTAACCTTTCGTTGCTTTATGGCTGATGAGTTATTTTTGTAGCAATATGATAGCTCTGCCGTTTTGCTGGATGGATAAGTCTGAAATCTGTTCGTTGAACTGTACCGTTATGTGGATTTGTGCCTTTCGTCATTTTAGCTGTGTCAGTAAATGACCCTTGCGCTCTCACACCGTGTTTTAACAGGCCCGGTGGGCCACGTTTTACTGCTGTAAAAACTATTTAAAGGCCTTTTGTCTTCTTCTTCTTTACTGCTCCGCTTTTGCCTTGAAACCCTAGCTTTCAGAAATCCACCGCCGCCATTGTCGCCGTCACCTGAGCGCCGCCGTCTTAGCCTCATCTTTCCCTAGTGCCTTTTGCTTCCGCTAGTACATGGGTAGGAAGAAAACCGTGAGCAAGTCTCAGACAGCCTTCGTGGACGAGGAGTCATCACTTTTCGTGATCGAGAACCAAGAGTTCATGGCCATGAAGGCTGCCTAGAAGGTTTGGCCGGCTCCGACAACGACTGAAGACCAGCTTCGCAAGCTCGTTGGCGATGGTCTGATCCAGAGCAAGGACATTGCTGAATGAAGAGCTCTAGGCGAGCACCGGGTCCCTGCTCCAGGTCATGGTGAGATTATTCTTTTCGTCTCCTTTATCCATGCCGGTCTTTGCCTTCCTGCTTCCGCCTTCCTTCATCGATTTCTCAGTTATTTTGGGGTTAGCTTGAACCAACTTGCTCCCAATGTCATCCTCCATCTTTCTGTTTTTGTTCATCATTGTGAAACTTTCCTTGGAACTCCCCCTTCTCTTTCTCTCTTCCGTCATTTCTTCCGTCTGAAGCCTCAACCCCGCCGCGAAGACACCAATGTTCTTGGCGGCTGCGAGATTTAGTTTCGCCAGGGTCTTAAAAGCAAATTCTTTGACTATGACCTGGTTTATTCTGTGAGGAATTGGCGTGCTTACTAGTTTTATGCCGCCAATTTGATTCCTCCTCTCACTGTTCATTCCAGATCTGGTCCTTTGGTTAATGACCGGTGGGAAAAGAACTCCCTGATGTCGGACGAGCTCTAGGTGATCCAGCCGTTTCTTGAGAGGATAAGTACTCTGAAACAGCAGGGCTTGACCGGCTTCGGTATCATTTTGAGTTTCCTTCGCCGTCGTGTTCAGCTTCTGAAGGAGTGAGAGCACTTTGGTTTTGAGTACTCTGGGGCTGAGGATCCTTCTCGTATGGTCCCTACCCTTGAGTTAACTGACGAGGAGGTACTCGAGCGTCTTCAGAAGATGCTAAAAGGAGCAAGTGTCGTCCCGCTTACTGTCTCCGAGTACTGTGCTAAAAACCCGCCTCCTATTGTGAGTTGTTTTCTCTTTGTGTGGGTACTTTTTGTATTTCTTTTGCTGTATCTATTTTTGTTTAATCTTCCTTGTCTTGTTGTCTTATTCTTTTTATAGGAATTGGGGCATAACTTTGTTGACCCGATTCCCCTTGATGACCTCCCTGCCATTGTGGGGGCTAGGGGTAGTCTTGTTGGGGCTTCTTTAACCAGTAAGTCACAAACCGTCGTAATG